CCTCCTCCCGACGCGCGCGAAGAGACGCCGCTGCCGCGCGCCAGCCCCGAGCCCACTGCAACGAAAGGGGAGCGGGGCCGCCGCCTGCGCGCCCTGGCCCTGCCCCGCGGGGCCGCCGCCGCTCTGCAGGCGGGAGGGGGCGGGCAATGCGCGGGCACCGCGCAGGGGATCCCGCCTCCGCCTGTCCCCGGCGCAGCCCCGAGAGGCGGCGCGGACGGGCCCGGGCTGGCGCTGCGAGGCTCGCTCTGGAGAAGAAGCCGGGCTCCGGCCCCTAACAACCCGCAGCGAGGAGCAGAGCCCGGCAATGCCCGCCTGGCGCCGCGCACCGCCATGGCCCGCGCACCTGGACTCTGCCGCGGCCCCGGGGACGCTCGCACAGCTGGCTCCGGGCGCACGCACTGGGCCAGGGACACCCGGGCCCGTGGGCGCACGCCGGGCTCGGCCCCTTACTCGCGTGTTCGCCGCAGTTAGGTGCGCGCCGCTGCCTAAACCCAGGTGATTTGGTGAGCGAGAAACACCACGTGGCTTCATGCAGCTTTGTTGTTGTTTTACGTTAGGCCCAGTGACCGGGATGCCTTAGCGCTGGGTGCTGTGTGTACACCACAGAAGAAAAACAAAAACACACCCCTGCCTCAGTGGGGTGGGGAGAACAGCTGTTTAAAAAGGGCAAAACAAAACACTATTTTACTTTCCTGTTTAAAAAAAGTGACCCTTATTTAAGTGGAATTTTACACAGTTGCCTCATAGTGCACACCAGCTCCATAGTAGGCACCACAGTGCATGCTGCAAGATTACAAGCATTGAAAGAAGCTAGCAAATTTTCTATTTTCGGTTTGTATACACCTGTGCATTTATATAGATTAATAGTTTCCAAGGCCAAAAGGGACCATTGTGATCATCTAGTTTGATCTCCGGTATAACACAGGCTAGAGAACTTCCCCAAAAACAATTCTTAGAGCAGATCTTTTAGAAAAACATCCAATCTTGATTTGAAAGTTGCTGGTGATGCATCCCTCATGACCGTCACTGTTGAAAATATATGCCTTATTTCCTGTTTGAATTTCTCTAGCTTCAACTTCCAGCCACTGGCTCAGGTTATACCTTTCTCTGCTAGATTGAAGAGCCTCCTCAATATTTGTTCCCTGGGTAGGTACTTAGAGATTTGATAATGTGTTATGTATACACTATTTCAGTTTTCCCATAACAATCTGTTAGGTTGAAAAGATGCTTATCAATGGGACAACAGAAAAACTCTTTGAAATTTTAAATCAGTGTTTTGTTTATACAAAAAATGACAAGACATGCTATTGACCATTAACAGGGACTCTTTACTATTTGTAAAAAAGTTAGTTCCTAGTCCCATAGTTTTTAAAGCTGTTCTTGTTTTCTTTTATACATTGAAATTGTTCTGTACGCCTCTCATACCTGATTATTTTAGAACGTCATTACTTGGGGGGGGGGGAATCCTGATCCATAAAAGGACTTAGGCGCCTAAGGCCAACATTGATGTGCCACTAAGAGCCTCAGAAATGCCACTCAGCTGCCACCTAACTCTCTGTAGGTGCCTAAACTCCCTAGGCATCTAAATTTCTATAGTTAAAGTCCCCTGGGTGCCTAAGTTTCTGCCAATGAACATGTCTCAGTCTAGGTGGTTAAACTACGGCCCGTGGGCCACATACAGCCCGCAGGACACTCCTGCCCAGCCCCTGAGCTCCTGGCCCGGGAGGCTAGCCCCCATCCCCTCCCCTGCTATTCCCCCTCCCCCGCAGCCTCAGCTCACTGCACCGCCAGCGCAATGCTCTGGATGGCCGGGCAGCACAGAGGGTGGAGAACGGGGGGGGGGGAGGGGGGGGTTGAATGGGTGCAGGAATTCAGGAAGGAGGGGGGGTTGGATGGGGCGGCGGGGGGCAGTCAGGGGTGGGTGTTTTGGGGGCAGTAGGGATAGGGAGCAGGGGGGTGAATGGGGTGGGGGCCATCAGGGAACAGGGGGTTGGATGAGGCAGGAGTCCCAGGGGGCACATCAGGGGACGAGAAGCAGGGGGGGTCAGATAGGGGTCGGAGACCGGGCCACAGCTGGCTGTTTGGGGAGGCACAGCCTTCCCTAACCAGATCCCCATACAATTTTGGAAACCCGATGTGGCCCTCAGGCCAAAAAGTTTGCCGGCCCGGTCTAGGTGCTCAGGAGACCATCTCATGCCTAAGCCCCAGCAGGATTCTCAAACTAGGTGTTCCCTTGCTTATATTGCCTGCAGTTCCCAATCCAGTAGGAGTAGATGTTGTCAAAGCATGCCTAACCCCACACAAAACAGCTAGGAGATGGAGGTGATGACACTGTCCCCATTATAATTTTAGTCCATGGCACCTAACTCTTCCCATGAATCTTCAGGCAAACAGTATGTTTGTTTAAATATGGTTAAATGTAAATGTATACATTTAGAAACAAAGAATGTACTTCATACTTTCAGGATGAGGGACTTTATCCTAGGAAACAGTGACTCTGAAAAAGATTTGGGGATCATGGTGGATAATGAGATGAACATGAGCTCCCAGTTTGATGCTGTGGCTAAAAGGAGGGCTATTGCAATCCTTGGATGCATAAACAGGAACCCGGAGTAGGAATAGATAGGTTATTTTACCTCTGTATTTGACACTGGTGCAACTGCTGCTGGTGTCTACAATTCAAGAAGGATGTTGATAAATTGGAAAGGTTTCAGAGAAGAGCCACGAGAATTATTAAAGGATTAGAAAACGTGTTTTCTAGTGATAGGAGCTTAATCTATTAAATTTAACAAAGAGAAGGTTAAGGGATAACTTGATTACAGTCTGTAAGCAGGGGTGCTGGAACCAGAGGTGCTGGGGTGTGTGCCAGCATTCCCTGGCTTGAAATGGTTTCCATCATATACAGGGCTTAAAGTTTTGTTCAGTGGCTTTCAGCACCCCACTATAAAAATTGTTCCAACGCTACTGTATGTAAGAACCTACATTGGGGACAAATATATAATAAATCTATTCAATCTAGCAGAAAAAGGTACAACATAATCCAATGTCTGGAAGTTGAAGCTAGACAAATTAAGACTGGAAATAAGTTGTAAATTTTTGACAGTGAGGGTAATTAACCATAAGAACAATGTACCAAGAGTTGTGGTGCATTCTCCGTCACTGGTAATTTTTAAATCCTAAAAGATACACTCTAGTAATTATTTTGGGGACATTATATGGCCTGTGTTATACTTGAGGTCAGACTAGATGATCACAATGATTCCTTCTGGCTTTGGAATCTATGAATTTTATGGGGAGCCTAGGCCCCTAACTTGGGGCTGTGGATTCCATTGTGCCTTTAGCGCACAATTCTGCAGCTGTGGTGTATTTTTATAGCTATTTCCTAACCACCCTTGCAATTCATAGATCAAATACTGTTTGCTATAAAATTAGTCAAAACTTAATTTCCTTTAAATTTTACTTTAACAAAACAAGTTGTATAGTTTTTAACTGCTTGAAAAGGTGAGAATAGACTCTTAATTTCCTGAATAACTTTTAATATTGCTGAACATGTTATTTAATTATGTTACTTAATTTGAGAAACAGATTAAGATAGTGTATAATTCTCTGTTCTTACCTTCTCCAATGTTCTTTCTTTCAGATTCAGAGTGCCCATAATAAGGATTAGTCGTCTGTCAAAAGTTTAGTGATTGATTATTAAGAAAATTTCCTGCATTGTTCATGGTATGGCTTAACCTTTTATGTTTTGTATTTAGTTTGGGTTACAATGGTAAATGGTTATTTTATGTACGTTTCTAGAGCTTATATGTTTTAAATGTGTAAATACTTATTGACATTTCTTTTTGTTATAAGAAATATGCAAATTTAAATATGCCAGTTAGAATTACAAAAGCAGATTTAATGTAAATATGTGAGTAAATTTATATTTCCTTACAAATAAAATTGGTCATTGAAAAAAATAGCATTTTTTTTCTTCAAAGTATGTACATGGTACTAGGTGAAAAAGAGACTTAACATTAATATTTTTTACAGTCTGGAGGACATGTTCTGATCAAATTAAGCTAATGTTTTCATTTGATAATTCTTATTTTTTATTTTGTAGATGACACTTAGAATCATATCTTATGAGTTAGTGTTTTAGTAAAAAGTCAAGACTTTTTTTTTTCTTTCTCTCTCCAGGAGTTTTTCATCAGTATGTCTGAAAGCATTAAATATAATGATGATGATCACAAAACTGTGTTTCTGAAAACATTAAATGAACAACGTCTGGAAGGAGAATTTTGTGACATAGCTATTGTGGTAGAAGATGTGAAATTCAGAGCGCACCGGTGTGTGCTTGCTGCATGCAGTACCTACTTCAAAAAGCTTTTCAAGAAACTGGAGGTTGATAGCTCATCAGTAATAGAGATAGATTTCCTTCGTTCTGATATATTTGAAGAGGTTCTAAATTATATGTATACTGCAAAGATTTCAGTTAAGAAGGAAGATGTAAATTTGATGATGTCATCAGGTCAGATTCTTGGTATTAGGTTTTTGGATAAACTTTGTTCTCAGAAACGTGATGTATCTAGTCCCGAAGAAAACGCCCAATCCAAGAGTAAGTATTGTCTGAAAATAAATCGTTCTATTGGAGAATCTAATGATAACCAAGATGACGAGGTTGAGGAAATTGGAGATCATGATGATAGCCCATCAGATGTAACAGTAGAAGGAACTCCTCCAAGTCAGGAAGATGGGAAATCTCCTACTAATACGCTAAGAGTTCAAGAAGCAATTCTAAAAGAGTTGGGGAGTGAAGAGGTTCGAAAAGTAAACTGCTATGGTCAAGAAGTGGAGCCCATGGAAACAACTGAATCAAAAGACTTAGGATCTCAAACCCCTCAAGCTCTAACCTTTAATGATGGCATAAGTGAAGTGAAAGATGAACAGACGCCAGGATGGACAACAGCAGCTGCTGACATGAAGTTTGAGTATTTGCTTTATGGTCACAGGGAACAGATTGCATGTCAAGCATGCGGTAAGACATTTACTGATGAAGCACGATTGAGAAAACATGAAAAGCTCCATACTGCTGATAGACCATTTGTTTGTGAAATGTGCACTAAAGGGTTTACCACACAGGCTCACTTGAAAGAGCACCTGAAAATCCATACAGGTTACAAGCCTTATAGCTGTGAGGTGTGCGGAAAGTCTTTTATTCGAGCTCCAGATCTGAAAAAGCATGAAAGAGTCCATAGTAATGAAAGGCCATTTGCATGCCATATGTGTGATAAAGCTTTCAAGCACAAGTCCCATCTAAAAGATCATGAAAGAAGACACCGAGGGGAAAAACCTTTTGTCTGCAGCTCTTGCACTAAAGCATTTGCTAAAGCATCTGATCTAAAAAGGCACGAGAACAATATGCACAGTGAAAGGAAACAAATTACAACAGCCAACGCCATCCAGAGTGAAACAGAACAGTTACAGGCGGCAGCCATGGCAGCTGAAGCGGAGCAGCAACTTGAAACTATAGCTTGTAGTTAAAGACAAAAGCAACTTTATCCAAAAAGTAACTTAAGAAATTAAATTGAACAAAAATTTAAATGTTGAAACATGTTTAGACTGATCATTATCTTTTCAGGATAAAATATTTTTAGAGGGATTGAACACTGCATGGGAGCATATAGCAGTGCTTGGTTAGGTATTTTAAAATACTTCAAAGATACGTATTCTTAGAATATAAAAATAATTTTGTTATTAGCACTAACATGTTTTAATTTCAGAAAACGAGGAAATCTCTATTTGATGTTTCTGCATACTTGTCCTTTGTACACATTAGTAAAACCAATGAGGTAAATTATGTCTAACAAAACTGAAATTTGTAGAAAAAGTTATAAGTATGGGAACAAAATATTTTTTTTAAAAGAATTTTTGGATGTAGTTATGCAAGAAGCATATAGTACACCTAGAACCCATGAAAATTCATCTGTTGGAATCCTGACATTTTTATTTCCTCCTTTTTCCTCATTCACTGTACTTATTAGCTATTAGTGCAGCAGGTTGGCAATTTTGGGTAATTGGTCAAGCGGAGTTATCCTGCTTCTTTGTCCACCCCCTTAAATTCCTCCCTTTAATCTAGCTGGTGCATACAATACTTGCTCTTCTAAAGGTTAGACTTTTCACATTCATAATAGCCTAGATGTGTCCCCTGGATCAACAAATGGAGAGGACACAGCACTCATCTACCTTTCTGTGTAGAAAGGAGTAGGGCTCAGTTGCCTCCATGTACTCTTCAGAGGCCTTTTCATGCCGTATACGAGAGATGGACTGGAGGTGGGAGGGAGGGCAAGTGGGCAGAATTTGTAAAGAGATATATTGTTCCAAATCTAGCCCCATGAAAATTAATCAAAGATAATGCAATCTGAGGCTGTATTGTCTTTGTCATGTAGCTTCCCCTCACTCTTCCTAGGACAGCCGAGGCAAAGGGATGCACAGGCACAGACTCCCAGGAAAAAAATGGTGGGTGCTTAGCACCCACCGGCAGCCCCCTATCAGCCCCCCCAATTTCCCCCAGCGTCTCCTACCCACCGGCAGGCCCCACCGATCAGTGCCTCCCCCTCCCTCCCAGCGTCTGGTGTGGATCAGCTGTTTCGCAGCATCAGGAGGCGCTGGGGGTGAGCGGGGAGGAGCGAGGGCGCAGCACTCTTGGGGGAGGGGGCAGAACTGGGCGGGGAAGAGGCAGGGTGGGAAGAAGCAAGACGGGGCGGGGCATTGGGGGAAGGAGTGGAGTGGAGTGGACGCAGGGCCTGGGCAGAGCCAGGGGGTCGAGCACTCCCCAGCAGATTAGAAACTTGGCGCCTCTATGAAGGGATGTCTGTAGAAATACACCTCAGTGGAATTAGCTGTGCTGTTGAGGGGAGGGATTTGGTACCAGGCGCCCTGCAGATCGCTGCCTGCAACTTAAAGGATAGGTTCCATGGCCTTTTAGGGGGGCACCTCCCAATAGGATTGTGTGTAGAAAGATCTCTACAGGGGAATCTGCATGAGAATGTTTACGTTCTGAGAAATCTCCCACAGGAAGGGATGATCTTGGCCAGTTTTTCCAACTATCATTGCCTTAGAATCTGTGAAATCTTTTTTTGAAATCATTCAGGCAAGGTTTTGTTTTGCTTTGTTTGTTTGGGGATTTTTTTTGGGAGGGGTGGGGGGGTGGAAAGGGATTGTTAATTGTTCCTTAACTTACCACAATCTCAACAAAACTTCTAAAATACTACAGACTGAGCTGTCTCCTGTATATGGAAATAGGGAGTCACAACTTCACAATATTAATTGTTAAAATGATCCTAAGGAACATGAATACTTCTTTATTTTAAGTGTAAATAATATAATTATTATCAATGTTATATTTCAACTATAAATGGGCAAAAATGCACTCTTTTGCACATCAGGTTGGAATAAATTGGTCACTTAAGAGACCCATGACATATAAAAGTTGTCAGACAAGTATTTATAAATTATTGTGTGGTAAATCACCTCTTGCATTTCTAAATAGAAATTGAAAATAACATTTTTGTAACTGATAATTTTTGTTACAACTTCATTGTGTATCTTTCATGTAATCAACAGTTTTAGCAATTATATTAAAATACCAACAATAGTTTGAAAATTGTTCTGTAAATAAAACATGAATTGAATATTTTAGAATATGTAAATTTTGGACTTTGTCCTATATATTTTTTTAAACGTTTCTTCATTTTACATTTAGCGGTTTTAGTTAGTAAACCAACTATCCATTTTATATTTGTGCAATGTCAAATAGTAAGTACTCATTTCTTTTTATAGCTTCCCACAAAGGAAGACACTAAATTAATAGTGTAAAAATATTTTGCGGTTTGTTATATGTAAGCATACATAAAGGTGGTAGATTCAGAATTTGAGCTGCACCTTTCTTCCCTGGTGCTTGCAAAGTTTTAATCTTGTTTGTTTTTTAAAACACAGTTCACCACTTGTAAAACACCATAAAATAATTAGCTAATGCGTACACCATTAAGGAATGAGGAACAGATTTGTTTCAGGTTTTCAAGAATTTAATAGCTATAGTGAGATAAAAATGTTTTAAACTTTATTTTCAGTCTTTTTTAAAAATAGCTGCAATATTTTCCCCTGTATATTCGTTGTTTTGGTATAATTTCAAAATATGATGAGGCATTGCAGTGGAAAAAACAACAGTATGCATACTGTAATAATTACAATTTACATAGGACAAAACCTTTTTGTTCCCAATGATTTGTACAGTTGCATAAATAAATAATTCGGGGCTCAATCCTGCGGTCCCTCAGTCACAGCAGTACATCCATTGAAAGCAATGGGACTACAGCTAGGACCTTTCTGCTAAATTTTAGTTACCTACACTCCACAATTTCTAGAATCACTATATATTCCAGAGAATAGTAGTGATGAGGTTCTTCAAGAAAGCTAGTATTTAGACACAGATTTTGTCTTAAGAGCTTTGCTGAATGGGGACCTCAGCGCACTACATTTTTCTTTATACAAGTAATTTACTCATGCTTGAATTCCTTTAGGATGTTGAGAGATAAAAGTGCAATCTCTTACCAAAACGAAAAACCCATGCATGTTTTTCAAACTTGATAATTTGGCAAAATCAAAAGCAATTTACACTAGAACAGTGAGACAAGGTGGGTGTTGGTGAGAGAGACAATCTTTCATTGATCCAGTAAAAGATATTACCTTACCCATCTTGTCTCTGTAATATCCTGGGACCAACACAGCTACAACAACACTACGTACTAGAACACTGAGGCATTTATCTTCCCTGAGGACTATTTTCTCTGCCAAATTTCAACTTTCTGTCCCCAACAGTTTCTATTCTGTACCTGTTCAAATATATAGGGGGGTTGTTCTTTTTATTGGGAATTGTATACTTTCTCCTCTCCTTTCTAAAAAAGACCTGAACAACTTTTGCTCACTTTCCAAAATATTTCAATCTCAGACATTGACTAGGCTTGGAAAATTTCTGCCCAAAAGTGAAAATCCTAGAAGGAGTCTTAGAATGGAAATGTATAGGTGATGTTAGCTATAAGCTGAAGTTAATATTCCAAATAAATTAAAAGTTTGTATACTTACTCATTTCCAAAGACAGCTGGCACTGTGTCAGTTTCACAGAGTGAAATCCTGGTTCCACTGAAGAGACTTTTTCCATTGACTTTAATGGGGCCAGGATTTCAGTCAATACATGCAACAAGTTACCCAGAAAAACGGTATAATGTATAAAAAATAGGACTGTCGAGCGATTAAAAAAATTAATTACGATTAATCATGCGATTACAAAAATTAATCGTGATTAATCGTACGATTAATTGTGCTGTTAATAATAGGATACCATTTATTTAAATATTTTGGATGTTTTTCTACATTTTCAAATATATTGATTACAATTGCAACACAGAATACAAAATGTACGGTGCTCACTTTATATTTATTTTTATTACAAATATTTGCCCTGTAAAAAACAAAAGAAATTGTATTGTTCAATTCCCCCATTATAAGTACTATAGTGCAATCTCTTTATCATGAAAGTTGAAGTTACAAATGTAGAATTATGTACAAAAAAATCTGCATTCAAAAATAAAACAATGTAAAACTTTAGAGCCTACAAGTCTACTCAGTCCGACTTCTCATACAAGTTTGTTTATCTTTGCAGGAGATAATGCTGCCCGCTTCTTGTTTACAGTGTCACCTGAAAGTGAGAACAGGCATTCGCATGGCACTGTTGTAGCAGGCGTTGCAAGATATTTATGTGCCAGATGCACTGAAGATTCATATGTTCCTTCATGCTTCAACCACCATTCCAGAAGACTTGCGTCCATAATGCTCGATAATGATTCAAAAAGTGCGGACTAACACATGTTCATTTTCATCATCTGAGTCATATGCCACCAGCAAAAAAATGATTTTCTTTTTTGGTGGTTCAGGTTCTGTAGTTTCCGCATTGGAGTATTGCTCTTTTAAGACATCTGAAAGCATGCTCCACACCTCGTCCCTCTCAGATTTTGTAAGGCACTTCAGATTCTTAAACCTTGGGTCGAGTGCTGTATCTATCCTTAGAAATCTCACATTGATACCTTCTTTGTGTTTTGTCAGATCTTCAGTGAAAGTTTTCTTAAAATGAACAACATGTGCTGGGTCATCATCAGAGACTGCTATAACATGAAATATATGGCAGAATCTGGGTAAAACAAAGCAAGAGACATACAATTCTCCCCCAAGGAGTTCAGTCAGAAATTTAATAAATGCTTTTCTTTTTTAACGAGCGTCATCAGCATGGAATCATGTCCTCTGGAATGGTGGCTGAAGCATGAAGGGGCACACGAATGTTTAGCATATCTGGCTATAAATACCTTGCAGTGCCAGCTACAGAAGTGCCATGCGAACGGCTGTTCTCGCTTTCAATTGACATTGTAAATAAGAAGCGTGCAGCATTATCTCCCTTAAATGTAAACAAACTTGTTTGTTAGCAGTTGGCTGAACAAGAAGTAGGACTGAGTGGACTTGTAGGCTCTGAAGTTTTACACAGTTTTGAGTAAAATTATGT